CTAACCCACTTAAGTTGTCTTGGATCTTTGGTTTTCACCCTGTCCAGTTCAGATCCCACAGACACTGACCAAGCCCTAGCCTGAGAGCCTCTCCCCACCCCTGTGCTGGAGCCGCACCCTAGGCGGATCTGGCTGTCTCCTGCATCTTGCTGAGCACTCATTTCCTCATCCATTTCCTTTAAACTAATGACTACAGCCCCTTCCCCGTGGGCTCCTGCACTGCAAGCAACCCCCTCATCTCCCACTTTCCCGAGTGTTTCCCATTCCTCCTCTCTTCTTGGTGGGTCACATAGATGCCTGCAGGGGTTGATCCTCAGGGGCACGGAAAGGACAGAGTATGGGGAGGCAAAAGTAAGTAGAGGTTCAGGTTCGCTGCAGGAATTTCTACCCCAGTATCCAGAGAGCTTGCAGGAAATGAATGGAAGTTTTTTGGGCACTGTGACTTTGCAGGTGAGAGCTTAGAATTTTATGTCAAAGGTCTGCCAAGAAGAGCAGGTGTGCACATGCTTGTGTGGCTGTTATTCATTCAGTCGTCATGAAACCAATACTTATTACTGTCCTAAGGAAGACTGAAATGAATATGACGAATTCATTCCCTACTATATTAGTCAGGATTCTCTAGAGGGACAGAACTAACAGGGTATATATATATATATATATATATATATATATATATATATATATGTGTGTGTGTAAAATGTTATTAAGTAGTATTAACTCACATGATCACAAGGTCTCACAATAGGTCATCTGCAAGCTGAGGAGCAAGGAGAGCCAGTCCAAATCCCAAAGCTGAAGAACATGGAGTCCGATGTTCCAGGGCAGGAAGCATCCAACACGGGAGAAAGATGCAGGCTGGGAGGCTAGGCCAGTCTAGCCTTTTCCTGTTTTTCCACCTGCTTTATATTCTGGCAGCTGATTAGATGGTGCCCACCCAGGTTAAGGGTGGGTTTGCCTGTCCCAGCCACTGACCAAAATGTTAATCTCCTTTGGCAACAAATACCCTCAGACATGCCCAGGATCACTACTTTGCATCCTTCAATCCGGTCAAGTGGACGCTCAGTATTAACCATCACACCTACCCTCATGGAATTTGTATTCTAAGTAGGGAAGACAAAATAAACAAAAAAGAAATGAAAAATTCCAATAGTGACAGGTGGTAGGAATAGAATTAGCGAAGGTGAATGTCTAGGGGAAGAGTGAATATTCAGGTGAGCAGGAAAGATCTCTTGTGCGGATGAAATCTGGGCAACAGCAGAAAAATCAGAGGGACTCAGGCACATGTGACTGGGAGCTCAGGAGTGGTGTACATTTTCCTTAATCAGGAAAGGGCAAGTGCACAGGTTCTGAGGCCGGGAGCAGCTGGGCAAACCTACAACAGCAGAGAAGAAAGAAGGCTGGACGTGACTGGGAGGAGTGAGCTGGGAGGGAGGATGGAGAGGAGGATGGACAAAGTCTCACCCTGTCGCCCAGGCTGGAGTGCAGTGTGACATGATCTCAGCTCACTGCAACCTACACCTATCAGGCTCAAGCAATTTTCCTGCCTCCGTCTCCTGAATAGCTGGGATTACAGACATGTACCGCCACACCTGGCTAAGTTTTTGCATTTTTAGTAGAGAAGGAGTTTCACCATGTTGGCCAGGCTGGTCTTGAACTCCTGGCCTCGAGAACTGCCCGCCTCGACCTCCCAAAGTGCTGGTATTACAGGCATGAGCCACTATGCCCGGCCAAGATTTTCTTAAAAGAGTGTTTTATTCAAACTCTGAAAAGGTTTATCTTGATGTTTGCCGATTCACTTGATTATTTTATCATTTAGACTTGGTTATAAAAGAAAAATCTCATAGTAATAGTGGATTAAACAACATAGAAGTGGATATGTCTTTTATATTCAAGAAGTCTAGAGGTGGGATAGTTTTTGTGCCCATAGTGTCATCTTGTTCTAGAAAACTTCCTTTCCCCAGTGTCATCTCAGGGCCCAAGATGGCTACTGGAGCTTCAGTTCTTATACCTGCATTCCAGGAAAAAGGAAAAATGATGTCAGAGGTGTACATCTAACTACAACCCCTTGGCTACAACTTAATCACACTCTCATGCTTACCTGTGAAGGAAGCTGGGAAATGTAGTTCTTATTCCAAATGGCCTCACACTTTGCTGAACATCAAGGATTCTTGTTCCAGGGTAATGAATGTTGAGACCACCTCACTGACTCTAACCCTGTCATCTACTTCCCTAGAATTCTTAGTAAAATGATTCCCGCGAGTTTATTTTCTGAAGACTTGTATACAACACAATGTTTTTATTTTGTTCCTTTCTATTCACAGGCAAGTTGCATTAACATTTAACTCTTTGTGTGACTACATGTAACTCATGAGTTAAAGTACATAAAACTCAGAACAGTGTCTGAGAACATGTCCCATAAATGAGCTGTGGCTATATGGTCCAGAGGGAAAACCTTCAGTTCTTACCACTGGCCCACCCGGGCCTGGGGGCCAGTTGCATTCTGCCTTGGCTCTCAAATTCTTGCATGATCCTTTATTCCTTCCCTGCACAAACTTCTTCAGCAACTCTCCTCAGTCCAGGAGCTGGAGGGGAAGGCACATGAGGGTGATGCAAAAAGGGAATGTAGGTAAAACCTGTGCAGCACATCTGCTCAGTGTCTTCTCCCACCCCACCCTTCTGTCACTTCTGATCCCCAGGAAGGACACCAGGAGGCTGGCCACCCAGCCTACTGGGGCGTTACTCTGTCTGGAGCTGGTGGTGGGGGGGTGTGACTCACTCGCCATCCTAGGTGGCCCTATTGCCACTCAGGGTGTTGTGTGAGACTCTGGCTTCAACCTGGCTTCCCACGTTGACTCTTCAGTCACCCAGAACATCTACAAACTGAACGCTGAACTTTCCCCAGCACATCAGGAACAGCTGGATCTGTAAAAAGTAGGAATGAGGTTTGGGAACAGATTTCCAAGGCCTTTCTACAGGGCTTTCCATTTGCACATGAACCTCTTCTAAGTAAATACTGACCTTCCCAGTGCCTCAGAATCCTGGGAGATCATATGGTCTGTCTAATGCTGCAGTTGTATCTTTGAGGGAAAGCCTTACATAAGCTTCTGTTCTCTCCCATCTAGCCACTGAGCCATAGAATGATTAGTTAACATAATTATTGTCCTTAATAGAAACTGCAGCCCCATGGGAGGGTGAGCAGAAGAAATGACTGTGACATCCTTAGGCTTCACTGTCTTGAGCTGGGTAATTACAGAGCTTCCCTTCTGCCCCACCCATGCCTTCAGAATCAGGATTTCTTCCCAGTGCCTTTCAAACTGGTTTTTACATACTCAGCTCTCATGTTCTCAGGAATCTCCAGCCCAACTGCCAAAGAAAGCCCAGCTCCTGACTTGCCCGATGGCCGAGGACGTGCACCTGCTGCTTTGCTCATCTCCCGACCATGCAAGAGCTCCCTGCCTTCCTAACCCCAAACAGACCCATCTTTAACCACGCCCTGCCCTGCTCCATCTGAAACAAGGCTTCACCAGAACAGTCAATAGCCTCACATCCTCTTCAAAAGGTGGCTTCAGGTTGTGTGGGAATGAAAGGACATACATGTGGTGTTTAATAGCACGTAGACGTTTAGTGAACCTTTGTCCCTAATTCTGCCCCCTGACCCCTAAGGCTATGAAAAGGAACCTATTTTCCCTGCCCTGCAACAGGGTCTTCCTCCTCTTTCTTCAACAACCTGTACTTCTGAAGCCCACGCATCCCTCTCACCCTTGTCTGCCTACAGCTTGGACTTCTCCTCCTCTTCCTTCCTCACTTCCAGGCTTGTCTTGCCTCTCCAGCCTCTCTACAATGCATGCGGATGTTCCTGATTGCACTCCAGCTATGGGGGACCCCGTTCCTGCAATCCTGCATTCTCCAAACATGGGTACACACTGGCGGCGCCTGGAGAGCTTCTAACACCTCCTCCTGCTTGGGCTTTATTCTAGAAACCAATTTAGGGGAATTTCTGGGGGTGGGGCCTGAGCAATTTCATTTTAGAAGCACACCATGTGGTTCTAATGTACAGCCAGGTTCTTAGTTCATGGGCTAATCTATTTCCTTTGGTACTATGAAGAAAAACATGTATGAAACAGTGCTTGCCCAATTATTTTACTTAATCTCCTGGGGCAAGTGGTTATTTCAGGCAGCCATCACCATAATCCAGTTTTAGAACAGTTCTCAAAGAATATAATCACACCAAGATTTGGAGAACAATTATCACTGAATTCTAACCTCTCTACTACTATGAATCTCATATGAGGTGGCTGATGAATTTCATGAGTCTAGGTCTAAGTGCTTATGCTCATCAATCCCTTCTAATTTTGTTCCAGTTCTGCCCCTCACTAGCTATGTGACCCTGAGAAATTATTTCAACTCTTGAGCCTGTTTCCTCACCAGGAAAATGGAACAAGGGAAATGTCCACTCCTCAGGGCTGTTATGAGGAGTGGAGATGAGGGATGTGGAGCCCAAACGCCTTTCAGCCGGATCTTTCAAGGAAACAGAGGCGTGCGGGCAGCACCTTCCCACCACCAGCCCACATGCTACTAACAGACAAGTCTGGGTTTCAGTCAACTCAGCCTAAATTCCAGGCCAATATTTTAAAAGTGGGAATGAAGTTTGGGAACAGATTTCCAAAGACTTCCTACAGGGCCCTGCATTTGCACATGAACCTCTTCTCAGTAAATACTGACCTCCCCAGCCCCTCAGATTCCTGGGAGATCAGATGGTCTGTCTAATGCTGCAGTTGTATCTTTGAAGGAAAGCAAGTCTCTATATTTAAACTGAAATTGTCCTTAGCTCACAAGCAGGAACTTCAAGGTCCTTTTATAGCATGAATAAATCTACGTTATATAGAGCAATTTTATGATTCATATCAGGTTTGTGGGTTATCAGAGGTGGGCATACCCATCTCTTCCCTGAACACAGCTTTGCACTTAAAGTGACACAAAGCCAGTAACTATACACTCAGTAAGCACAGGTAGCCAGTGTGGTTTATTTGATTTCCTTTCTGCTGGGCACAGGAAGCTCTCACAAGGCTAGGGTTCAAGCTGGCTTCCAAAGAGAGCAGTCATGTGCACGTGGGCCTGATCCCAGCCCCAGGTCAGATCCTGATCCCCAGTCCTCAGGTGCTTTCCACTCAGGCTTGAGGCAGGAGTCTGGTGGCAACAGCTCCTGAGAGCCCTTGCCGATGCCTGGCTCCACGCAGAGCCAGCCCCGTTGGGAGGAGCCCAGCCCCGGGATGCTGCATGGGGCAAGCGCCAGGTGGCTGACTCAGCAGCAGCCATGGGGCTGGAGTGCCTTCCTGATGCCAGTGGCCAGCGCTTGTGGCGTGGGGCTCTCTGCAGTGCAGCTTACAGGCAGGCCCTGGGCGGCCAGCGCACGAGCCGTAGTGGGGCCGATGGCTGCAAACTGTAAAGACAGAAGAGAGAACAGGGCTTCAGTACACTAGTGGGGGTTGGGACAGCAGGTGGCTGGATGTGTGCAGGGGCCATCAGCCAGCCTTTCAGTTGGTCACTCCTCATGTGACACGTTTATGTAAATGACAACACCACCTGATTTGAGCCCAGATTCTGTGCCTGCAAAATACCTCTGAATCCATGCTCTCATCACAGTCTCTCTGCCACCCGGAGTGAAGGCATGCTGTACCCAGGCTCGGGTGAGGGGCAGGGACATGAAGGGCCCAGGCTGGTGCTCGCCATCATGGCTGCATCACTGCAGTCCTTCCTCAGAGGCTCTAGCTGCAGACAGTTCTGCTTCCGGTATTGGGGGCCCTGGGTCTGATCAAGAGGAGGTGGGTATGTCAGGGGCAGTGACTGAATCCCCAGGAAAGCAGAGCCATCAAGGTCAGGGCTCTGGGACCAAGGGTTGAGACTTAAATCCCAGCTTCACAGGACAATGCCCTTGGCTTGTGGGCCCACCCTCTCTGGCCTCCACCTCCTTATCCATAAACAGAAAAGAACAGGACTCTTCACTGGGCTGCTGTGGGGATTAAAGGAGGTGACAGGTGTGAACCACTTGGCCTGGCCCAGAGATAAGCTCGATGACCGTAATGGGCTGCTGCCTGTGCTGTCGTGATCCTTCCAAATCAGCCGTCCAGGGCACCGGCCTCATCCACAGGACACCTCTCTCTGAACAAGCACCATGGGCTCGATGGTTCTGTGCAGAGCCTCGCCTGGGTGCAGCACTGCTTCTGTCCCGGCTCTGCCCCTGCTAGCTGTTATTAGAGCCTAAGTCCCTTAGGCTCTCTGATCCTCACCTGTAAAAGGGGCACAGTTACCCTGGCCTCAGAGGGCTAGAGTGGGGGTTAAATGAGAGAATGTCCTATCCCCCACTCTCCTCTGGATTGAGACTGTGGACCCTGAGCCTGTTTTGGAGAAAGGGAGCATCTGACCCTGGCAGCCCCTGCCCAGCACTCTGCTTCATCCTCCCTCCCTCCTGGCAAGTGGGCAGCAGGCCAGGTGGTAGTGGAGTTAACAAGCCACCTGAACCTCTGCATAACCTTGGATGCTGTGGGCCTGAGGCTCCTTCCTCCGGCTGAGTCAGAACAAGGGAAGGGAGACCAACTGTCCCGCAGGGGCCCTGCTCCCACCCTGCCCACAGTACTGCCCTTCTAAGCATCCGCTGCTTAGGAAACTCCCTGAGGAAAAAATGGAGTTGGACCCCTACCTCACACAACATACAAAAATCAATTCAAAACAGATCTAATACCTAAGTTCAGAGCTAAAACTATAAAACTCCTAGAAGGAAACAGGGGTAAATTTTCAAAACACTGAATTAAAGCAATGGTTTCTTGGATACAACACCCAAAGCACAAGTAACAAAAGAAAAAAACAATACATTGAACTTTACCAAAATTGAAAACCTTTTGTGCTTCAAAAAAATCATCAAAAAGTGAAAAGACAACTCACAGAATGGGAGAAAATTTTTACAAAACATACATCTGATAAAAAATTTGTACTCACAGGCCAGGCACAGTGGCTCACACCTGTAATCCCAGCACTTTGGGAGGCTGAGGCAGGCGGATCACCTGAGATTGGGAGTTCAAGATCAGCCTGGGCAACATGGTGAAACCCCGTCTCTACTAAAAATACAAAAATTAGCCTGGTGTGGTGGCACATGCCTGTAATCCCAGATACTCGGGAGGTTGAGGCAGAAGAATTGCTTGAACCGGGAAGATGGAGGTTGCAGTGAGCCAAGATTGTGCCACTGCACTCCAGCCTCGGCAATGAGAGCAAAACTATGTCTCAAAAAACAATTTTTTTGGTATTCAGAGGCCAGGCACAGTGGTTCACGCCTGTAATTCCAGCACTTTGGGAGGCCGAGGCAGGCAGATCACCTGAGGTCAGGAGTTCGAGACCAGCTTCCAACACGGTGAAACCCCTTCTCTACTAAAAATACAAAAATTAGCCAGGCCTGGTGGCATGCATCTATAATCTCAGCTATTCAGGAGGCTGAAGCAGGAGAACAGCTTGAACCCAGGAGGCAAAGGTTGCAGCAAGGCAAGACTGCATCACTGCACTCCAGCCTTGGCGACAGAGTGGAACAATTTCCCATCTCAAAAAAAAATATTTGTATTCAGAATAAGAAATTCTGTCAATTCAACAAATAACCTGGGTTAAGAGTGGGCAAAGGATTTGGATAGATATTTCTTTAAAGAAGATATAAAAATGACCAGCAAATGTAAAAAGATGCTCAACATCGTTAGTCATTAGGGAAATCTAAATCAAATCCATGCTGAGAAACTACTGCAGACCCACTAGCATGGCTATAATCACAGAGACAGAAAAACATGGATATGGGGGATATGGAGAAGCTGGAACCCTCATACCTTGCTGGTGACAATGCAAAATGGCACAACCACTTTGGAAAACAGCAATAATTCGACAGATGTTAAACAAAGTTACCTTAGATCTAGTAAATCTACTCCTAAATATATACTCAAGAGAAATGAAAACATATGTCCACACAGAAAATTGCATTTGGATGTTCAGCATTATTTAATAGCCTGAAAGTGAAAACAGTCCAAATGTCCATCAACTAATGAATGGGTAAATTAAAAAGTCCCCAGAATGGATTATTATTTGGCAATAAAAAGGGATGAAGTATATCTGCTACAACATGGATGAACCTCAAAAACATTATACTAGTGAAAAAAGTCAGTTACAAAAGACCACATACTGTATGAGTCTATTAACATGAGATGTCCAGAATAGAGAAATCCATGGAGACGGAAAGTAGCTGAGTGGTTGCCAAGGAGTAGGGGGAATGAGGGAATGAGGGGTGGTTGCGAATGGGTTCCGGGTTTCTGTTTGGGGTGGTGAGGTGTTCTGGAACTGGACAGTGGTGATGGTTGCACAAATCTGTGACTATCCTAAAAATCATGTTAAAGTTGACTTATTGGGCTGGGCATGGTGGCTCACACCTGTAATCCCTACATTTTGGGAGGCCAAGGCAGGAAGACTGCTGGAGGCCAGGAGTTTGAGACCAGCCTGAGCAATACAGTGAGACCCCATCTCTGCAAAAAGTTAAAAAAATTTTTTTAAGTTTACATATTAAAATCATAAAAAGTAAATTTTATGGTTTGTGAATTATATCTCAATAGAGCTATTTAAAAATTTGAAAAAAAGAAACTCCCTGGGACTGGGAACCAGCAAATGGCGAACATGACTGTACTCCTAGAGCAGGGTTATCAACGGTTTGGTGAAATGGTGGCTTTTTCACAGGAGCCTTTCGCTCCTCTATGTCAATGAATGCTCACAGGATGGTGCCCCACAGAGCAGTACAGTCTTCCCCAGGCTAGGCCGGGGGCCCAACATCAACATTCTTCTGCCACCTGGGCACCAACTGGGCTGAGTGCACTAGCCTGGCTGTGGGGGCAGCAGCCACGTTCACAGCCCGGCTCTGCCATTGTGGCTAGTGACTGCTAGGTGAAGATGCCCACCTCACAGGCTACATGGGCATTTCCCTGTGCACAGGAAATTCAGTTGCTGCCATTAGTTTGGTGGTGGTTATTATGAATCTGCTTACCTATTGCTCTGAAGTGATGTCTGTGGCAACTATAGACATGTGCATGGTCTTCCCAAGACAATGGTAAGTAGGAAGTTCAGGTCAGAAGTCATGCCCTTTGATTTTTTGTGGCACACCTACATGTGGTGCAGTGCTATACAAACTTTCGGTCCTACAAAGACTCCTGGGAAGGGAGGCCACCAGCAAATCTGGGGCCAAGCTGAGAGAGAAAAGCTTAACTACCAACTCACAAGCTAGGACTGTGTCCTCTGTGAACCTTGAAAGCACCTCACTAGCCAGCGCTGAGTCTCAGTGACAAGGGGCGTCTCACACCCGACATAACAGTGCCTTCGTGGCCCCCAAGCAGTCCACAGTCACTGTGAGCAAGGCCGGCTCTGTCAATTTCTCCTCCCCAGCATGGCAGAGGCATTCAATACTGGCAGGTAGGGTAATCACTGTAGTAAGAGGCGAGGGGGCTACTGAGAGCCCCTGGGAGTGTCTGGAAGGTTGTAGAAATGGGCGTGACAGATGTGGGATAGAGGCATGCACTCAGCCCCCAGTTTCCAGGGTTGTGGATGATGCAGGCAGCAGTCTATTCAGAAAGGCCTGAGTTCTCGGTTCAGATGTTGAGTATCCGTTTGTGCTTTTAAACATGCTTGCTTTGAAAGAAGATAGAGTATAAATCTTTTGTTCTTCCTCTAGGCAAACACTAAGAAGCTTGGGGAAAGCTGTGACAGGCTTACACCACCAGTATCTCACAGCACTGTGTGACTTGGGGAGCTCCTCCCATAGGTCCAGGAGAGAGGTAGAGTGACACAGAGGGACAAGAACCAGAGCAGCGGCCGGGTGCGGTGGCTCACACCTGTAATCCCAGCACTTTGGGAGGCTGAGGTGGGCAGATCATGAGGTCAGGAGATGGAGACCAACCTGGCCAACATGGTGAAACCATGTCCCTATTAAAAGCACAAAAAAATTTAGCTGGGCGTTGTGGTGCACGCCTGTAGTCCCAGCTACTCGGGAGGCTGAGTCAGGAGAACTGCTTGATGCCAGGAGGTGGAGATTGCAGTCGGCCAAGATCGTGTCACTGCGCTACAGCCTGGGCGACAGCGCAAGACTCTGTCTCAAAAAAAAAAAGAAGAACCAGAGCAGCACCAGCACCATTACCCATCCTGACCTGTAATATGAAGTCAGTGCTCACTATGGACCAGTTACCATACTAAGCACTTTATGGATCCTACCTCTTTAATCTTTCCAACCACAAGATTCAGATATTGTTTTTCTTCCTCAGTGGCCCATGTGAGTCTTGGGCCTTCCAGTAACTCACCACATGGCAAGCTGTTTAACCTGTCCGGGCCTCAGTGTCCTCACCTACAATGAGGACCACTGCCCTATTTTCTGGATACCCACACCTGGACTGGTGTGAGAATTACATGAATTACTGCCCATAAGTGCATCACCTGCTCGGCAGCTCCTGAGATCATGGCAAGGCATCACCAGGGCTGACAATGTGCAATCAGTCTTCTGAGGTTCAAATCACGGCTCTTCCTTCTCAGCAGTGTGACCAACAGGCAGGACACAAGGTGTCTTGGAGCCCAATGCTCCATCTTTAAAACCAGGAAAGCAGTGCATACTCCTCATGTGAGATGCACCTGTAGGAAAGCAGGCGAAGCCTTTGCCCTTCCTGACTGCAGCAAGTGGCAGTTTCTGTCCTTGGGTTCTGGGTCACATCCTGCACCCTCTCCTCAGTCCCTCTGGAGCCAGTTCAAGGGTATTTCTATTATAGACACCACAAGAGTTGTGGTTATTTGTCGACTCATTATGAACACAGTCCCTAAGAGACCTGAATGTAAACCCTTTAAAAGACATGAAAAAGGTTACTGCTTTTACAATAGACGATAATGGCAAACATAAGATGGGGGAACGGAAGGAAAGGATGTTAACACCTTTGTTAACATGTTCCAAGCCCTGAGCTAAGTAAGGACTTTACTTGAATTCCCTCATGTAATTCTGAGACTCATCCTATGCAAGGAAGACCATACACATGTCTGTGAAGGCCACAGAGAGACGATTATCCCCATGCTGCAAGTGAGGAAACGGGCTGGCAGAGGGTAAGCAATCTGTGCAACAGCCCAGCAGGAGGTAGAGCTGCCCTTCCAATTCGAGGGCACCTGCTAGGCCAGGGGTGTCTCACTTGACATTGAAGCCCTAGGATAATTCATGAAGATCAAAAAATAAAAAATAAACTAATACGAAAAAGACCAAAAGCCCATTGAATAACTTACCTTAATTTGATCGATACTGTCACCAGATAACTCCTGAATGTGCTTGAGACTGTGTGTAAGGCCAGAGGGACTGAAAAACGTGATGCTGGCTGGAATTCCCTGCGGGGAAGAGAAAACAAGATCAGTCCTGGCCATGAGGCCAAGGAGAGACAACATTCCTCCAACTTCATCAGCATCAAGGCTGCCCAGGCAATTTTACCACAGGAGGGGTTCCTGGTTGATGCTGGGACCCTCTGTTCCAGTGAGGCAGGATTCTAGTAAGGAACTAGAATCCTTACTAGTCCTTGAAAAGAGTAGACTGCCATCAGAAAGCTGGTGCTGCTCCTTGGCCGCTCTGCTGGCCCCCAGGTCTGTGTCTGCCTGGCCAGAGGACATGGGCATCACGGAGCTCATGTGCCCAGCACCCCAGACAATGCCTCTAGCTCCTGTGGTCACATGGCACTGATCATGTGAGGCAGTGCTGGCTCCGTCAGTGCTCCCTCCCTCTGGAAGTAGAGGAAGCAGATGAGCTGGCTTGGCCTTTGTGCACTTGGTTAGTCTTATCAGGCCCTCCCAATACCAGGCAAGGCATTCAGAAGCCCGCCCTGAGAGGAAAGGGAGGTGTTTTACTGCACATAAATGCTTAAGACGTCAAGGAACTTGAGCAAGAGCTATCCATTCTCCTGCCTAAGTCCTCCATCAGTCCCCATGGACTCCGAAATTCAACCCAGACTCCTCAGTGGCCACTGTCAGCTCTTCCCACTAAGGGCCCAGCCTCCCTTTTCAGCCTCTGCCCCTCCAGTTCCACCAGTGCCTCCATATGATGAAGAACAATGATAACATCAAGGCCACTATTTATCTCAGGCTTGTATGTATCTTGGATGCTGTACAAAAAGTGTTGCACAAATTATCTCCTTTAACCCCTATAAAAACTTACCACTTCCTCAAAGTTACTACATTAATCTCTCCAAACAGGCAGGTTTCATAGACCACCTACCACAAGCACCTCTTTTTGAAATCACTGATTTCAAACCAGCTTGCAATAGACATTTCATGAAACAACCACAAAATTGTTTCCACTCCTAATTCTAGAATCCCAGACCAACTATGCCACAGAAAAAGGCATGCAGGTGACAGCTGGGGACGGTGAAACCACATGTAGAACCAACACCTGTGAGCTTATGCCCCCTCACCCTGGGCTTCCCCAACCTGGACGTCCACCCTGCCAGAGCTCTCCCCCAGAACACCACATACCTGCTGGGAGTAGTAGCTGTTCAGGTTCCCTTGGATTCCTGGGTGTGGAATTGTCTGATACACAGTTATGCTTTCCATGGCAATCCCTGGGCACAATCAAAACCAGGAAAGTCTTTACTGCAGTGGGCACACCATGGAGCCTCTGCCACCTCACAGCATAGTTGGTGAAACCTCCCAATACAGCACCCCTCTCCTGGAACCAGCTGCTTGGAGGCTGAGAGGCCAGGCTCCTTAGAGAGGCCTCGAACAGCCCTCTGCAGCCTGCGGAACCCTGTGGAGTGGCTGCTGTGGCAGAGGAGGCTGAGACAGCAGAAAAAGAAAAAAGGCTCAGAAACCAAAGCCTTTGTTTATACCCAGAATGCCTTTTGTTCCCAGGCTTATGTGAGTTTGTCCATACAAGGCTGTCCCTAGTCACTCCATGGATCCCACATAGACAGGCTGCATGACACCAGCAAGTGTGGGCAAGGGCAGCTCTCGGGAGAGGCACAGAGTCCAGATCCCGGCTGCGCTCTCGCTGTGCCTCCACGTGGCCATGCGTCCCCTCTCTGGGCCTCAGGGTGTCCACTTGGAGATGAACTGATTAAGCCGTGGACGTTCCCACATTCCTCCCTGTGCCATTCAGTGATGTTGAACATTCCCAGGGGTTTTCAGGGCTGGTGATGAGGCACGAGGCATTGAAGGGACTAGCGCAATTTCAGTCAGATATAGATTTACGAGGGGCAGCCAGACAGCAGGTGAAAAGTAGTAAAAACTCAGGCTTCTGAAAATAAAATGGGAAATTCTCTCAGAAAAAATTATTATAATTTTAGCAAAAAACAGCAACCTTTCGCCATTTCATATCCCCCAAAACTAAAGAAATAAATGGAAGTATCAAACCTCCGATTTATATATAATTTCTTTAAGGGTCCCCCTGAGGCCAAGCTTCCTCTTTTTTTATCCTGGTATTTTCTATTCCTGAAAAGCTAGTGATTTTGCTGATCTTATTACTTAATGTCCTCTGCCTTTATTCTTGGCAGCCTTTAGAAGACAGATGATATGGGTAGAAGGGACATGATCCAGCTCCGTTTTAATACAGGAGGGAAAGTGACAAGGTCTAAGGTCACCCTGGGTCACACTATTCAGGTGGACGGTTAGAGCTTCAAAATACTGGGAGAGATGGTAAGAGTCACAGGTCCATGAAGAGCTTGCCTTTGGAGAACAAGGCGTCATGCTACATGATCTCTGAACACCTCTGTGAGCAGGTACTATGGCTATGTACAGATAAGGATGCTGATCACAGAGAGATTACTTCACTTACCTTCATTCACATAGCTAATAAACTGCGAGAGGGAGAATTCAAATCTCTTTTTATTTCACCCTAACGCTGGTACTCCACACTGCCGATACACCTTGCTCCCAGACCAACTATGTGACAGCAAAAGGTGCGCAGGTGACAGCTAAGACATCTGAGTCAATGATGGCAGCATGCTTCAGAGGCAAGAGCTAGTTTCCAGATACCGACAGTCTTGGGAGCCACAGCAGGTGGGGCTGGAGGGGCAGGTGGGGCTTGTGTGGCTCTGATGGAGGGTGCTGCATGCTACTATAAGATCAGCTAAATTTGTAGACTTTCTTCTACACGTGGAACCAATTCTATGGTTCATCACCTCAGTTATCTGCCCAGGGGCCACCTCCACACTTCAATCTCCTGTCCTCTTGGTGAAGGACTGGAGACACACTGTGTGCTCCTAGCTTGAGCCAAGTGAGGTGAGAAGAGCATATCCAAAAAAGGAAAGTGCAGACTGCACATCTATACTTCATGTGAGGATTGTCCCTGTGTCCCCTGGCCTGGTATATCCAAGCCAGGCCTGCTCTCCCTTGTATGCTCTCTGCAGGGCTACCCACTTCCATCACTGCAAAGGCTCTTGCTGGAATCTACCCAAAGTGGTTAGGGATGCAGTCAAAGCACTCAAAGCTCACCTTTGTCCTTGAGCGTTTTCGGCAGGATTTCTCTTTTGAGGTTTCCACAGGGAAACAGAAGAGGCAGTGCTGAGGACTCCCCTGTGAATAAATAACCAGACTTTGTGAAAACTCAGGGGCAGTGCTTGTGCACAGGGCGAATGGGGAGGAGGAAGCCCGGGCTCCAGGCCTGGCTTTGCTTCTAGGACTTAGTTCCAGTATCTGTAAACAGGAAGAGCACCTGCTACCTTGCTGAACTTCAAGGGCTGTTATATGAAGATCGTAAGAGGTAATGTGTATAGAGGTGCTCAGAAAATGAACATCCACATAAACAAGTTAGCCATACTCTTTTAATTCCCTCTAACCCTAAAGTGACTCCCTAGCCTGCAGTCACTATTTAGAAGGCGGGCTCGGCACCTTAACCAAGCCAGGCAGGTAAAGCTCAGGCCTAGTGTTGGCACTGCAGCAAACATTTTCTACCCTAAAGAGGCCCTGGATGAGCCAGGGAGTGCAGCAGGGAAGTGGCAGCTAGGAGTGGCTCTGCAGCCACCCCCAGCAAAGACAAGCTCACTGCCCACTCCTCTTTCAGCCACACCAGCAGCCACTAGGCCAAGTGCTAAATGGCAGATGTGCAGGCCTTAGAGAGAGAAGCCTGCTAAGAACAGCCCTGCCTCTCCTCTCACCACTATCTCTGCTCCCAGCAGCTCATCTCTGGGAAGACTTACAGGCATTTTCAGCCCTAAACTCTCTGCAGAACAGTGAGGACAGCATAGGATTTGAACACCAATTTGCAACAGTACTGCCCAACAAAACTGATGTATTACCAAATGCCATAATCTTCCCCAAATGTGAAAACAAAGCATTTTAGTAGAACCAGCCATTTTCCCCACATCGTCCATAAAGAAATTCTAATGGGCGTTGTTCATACACATTGTATATTTTCCCACATCCTTGCGGTCTCTCTGAACACATATTCTCTGGTGGCTGCAATGAGAGGAAGGAGCAAAACCTCTTTCCATCCGGCATCATATCTACCAAGCAGCAAACAACAGGAACAGCTGCAGGCCACTTAATTTCAAGTGTATAAAGGCTACATACCGGTCAATGTTTTCTCTATTTAAACTGCTGTGTAAATATCAGTACCAACATAAAAGAAAATAATGAATTGGGAGATGGTTAAATATAGTTAATAGATGTCTGCTGATTTCCCTTTTCCAGTGTGAGGAAATGTCTGCATGCTCTGTAGAGTCATCCCTAGAGACGTATTTTCAAAGCCATGTTCAGGTGTGATTTTCTTCTCTGTGTCTCTGTGTGTGCTTAGGAGTGCGGGGTGGAGGATGCTAGGGGCCAAAGCTCTTCGTGGGGATCCAGTAAGAAAACTAGAATCCAGTTTTTCAGCAAGCCCAGCCCCATGGGCGAGCAAAGGGCCTTGGAAAGATTCGGGAATCTCCCCTTGGCAGCACCTCTTGTGAGGGTCCAGTGGAGTTCTGAGCTGCTCTTTCTTATCTCTGACTCACAAGGCTGGGCTGAAGGGGTACGCCCTCCCTGAAGGCGGCTGTTTTTCTCTATCTCTCCACCACCTGTGCCTTGCAGAGAGCTTGGCTCTGCAGGCACAGAGGGCCCACAAATGACCAACCAGCTCAGCTGACTTCACTGAAAAGGCACCGCCCTGTCAGGAGAAAGGAGAAAAACTTAAAAATGTCCTTTGCTGCTGAGGGGAGATCTACTACAACTACATTTCCTGAAAACTAACCCCCTTCAAAAAGCCAAAGACAAAGGAGTCATTCCCTTTTGGAATATACTTACTGCCTGTGGATTTATTTTCAGCCCCAAAAGGCCAAAGCAATGGTTAAAGCTGACACAAAAATAGTGAATCATGGAGCTCAAAGGCTCTGCTCTCCATTAGTTTAACAGGAAGGAGGCCTCAATTCTGGGCTGTCAGGGCTGATGATGAGTAACAATGATGAAAATCCTGAGAGTATTATTATTAGGCAGCTCAGGAGGGGGTTTGATAAAGTCACTGCAGGTAATTAAAAAAATGATGATACAGGCAGGAAGCAGACAAATGCCTAGGTAGATAGGGAAGGGTCCCCAGTGAAACCTCACCTTCAAGCCTAAAATAGCCTGAAGGCTGAAAGGCCAGACTGCTGGTTCCGATGCAACCTGCAACCCAGGGGGAGAACATCTAACCATTTGTCTGCCCTTTCCCAACTGATTCAGAATAATGCCCTTTAACCAATCAAATGTTGCCTTTTCCGATACTACCTGTGGCTTGCCTGGGCATCCTCATGTGCACTAGGGGAATGGGGTGGGGCCGCGAGGAAATCGCGCCTTATGCAGGGGAGGAGCCTGGCCTCGTCAGCTCATGTGTGGTACCCCTGGTATTCAATCATGAGGGAGAAACCTGATTGGAGAAACCCTCTCTTTGAGAGCCCCTTCCTTTTGTCCTTCTTCTCTTTTCTTTCTCTCTTCTTTTTCTTTCTCTTTGCTGAGAGCTTCTCTCTCTCTCTCTCTCTGTCTCTCTCTCTCTCTGTCTCTCTCTGTCAGTCTCTCTCTCTTTCTCTCTGTCTCGCTCTTTCACCCAGGCTGGAGTGCAGTGGTGCAATCTTTGCTCACTGCAACATCCTCCTCCTCTCAGGCTTATGCAATTCTCCTGCCTCAGCCTCCTGAGTAGCTGGGATTACAGGTGCCCACCACCATGCCCAGCTAATTTTTGTATTTTTAGTAGAGATGGGGTTTTGCCTTGTTGGCCAGACTGGTCTTGAACTCCTGACCTCAGGCAATCTGTCTGCCTAGGCCTCCCAAAATGCTGGGATTACAGGCATGGGCCACCATGCCCTGCTGAGAGCTTTCCTTTCTCTTAATAAATTCAGCCCTTCTCACCCTCCAGTGTGTCTACCTGCCTAATTTTTCCTGGTCATGAGACAAGAACCCAAATTTAGCTGAATGATGGAGCAAAAAGTCCTGCATCAATGAGATTGACTTTTTAAAATGTCATCTTACTTCAGGACATGCACATGTCTGTAAAACAGTAACAACTTCCAGGTTTAAAATGACTTCCTTCTCAGGCACTGCCATGAGAATCAGTTCGAGCAGTCAGTGGGTGCCTGATTGCAGATAATGTGGATGATCAGAGGAACGGAAGAAAAGCCCGGCAAGTCTGCCAGGCTGCAGAAATTTTCCCAGTCTAGGAGGACATTGCAAATAAACTGTAGTGCAATCTTTCTGCCCTACCTTGTTTCTCTTTCTTTTCAAAAGTTACACTGTAGTCTACCTCTTAACATTTAATGTGTAATTACTTTCCCATTAGAGGATATATTCAGGAAAGAAGGAGAATCTATCAGAACCATGAGTTATCTGATTAAATAAGTTAATAGCTTTAAATACTTACAATAGTTCCTGTCACAAAGTAGTGTTAACTAAAATAAATAGGCATAGCTATGAACTGGCCTGTTTACTACAAGCATTGGAGGTAGATTTTTAGCTTTTAAAATCAGGCTTCAAAGTTTGCTGAGAAAGAAAAATCATTAACGCCTTGGTAAAGCCAAGGTGAAGGTCCTTATTAGCAGTTAACATGGACTTTTATTTGGGTATTCTAATTGCAAATGGAAGATTTATTAAGATCCATAGACATGCTGGTAATAAATTAGAGGAAATAGCAGAGGCTTTACAAAGAATGCAGACCAATATTCTCCCAGATAAGGTCAGAATATGTTAATATCTAACCAACCAAGCCTTGAGTCAGTTAATTGAAACACCAATGTGATCACTCAAAAGTGACATTGATCTCTTCTGCCTTGTGTTTGCAAAGCAGGGGACACCAGCCTGATGATTTGGGGTCTTCTAACGAACAATGACTCAGACAGTTCACTTCTGTCTCCTTCCAGAACAAACTGTGGGTACAGCTCAATCTCTTCACTGAAAATAGGCAGGAACCACCTATTCTATTAAGGAGCTAACTGTTGGCCCACCCATAGAAGTAATTATTATTCTTTGTAGATCCGGACACTTAATTCCACAATGTCAATATCTACCATTTACATTTATTTCTACATTTTAAAAAGAAGGGCTTTGATACTATTTAATGCTGTGATGACTTTCCAGAAACAACAATAGAAACAAAAAGCCTGGAGCCACACTGTTCCTGACCTATCTGCATCCTGTACCAGGAGCCCCTGGAGTGAACCCCCCACACTGATGCGCAGCTCCATGACCTAAGAAGCCATCCCACAGGGATGGGGTCACGTGGCACAGGGCCCAACCAGTGCTCTCTAATCTGGACAGCTGGAACAACTGTCTGTGGATTCCCTGCAGCTATTTCAACACCTGGCAGCACAAAAGAGAGTCACCGCCTATCTAGGCTGCTGTTGAAGAAAATGGCCCCAGCAATCCATACTCTGGAACATTCCACAGAAAGCAACACGGTGGCCATTGGGCCTTTTCCCTTCAGCTGCTTAGCCTCAGATGCTCTTTGAATTGGCCTCCAGAGGGCTTCTCCACACTGGTGCATGGTGCATGGAAAGGCCTCTCCCAAGGGCCCAGCTGGGAACACCATGTGGCACAAGTGGCCAGAGAAGAAACGGGGCCAACCATCTTTACCAGCAGCAAATGGTGAACACTCTCTACCACAGATTACAGTCTCCTTAACTGTACGTTTTTAGCTTCTTTTTTTTTTTTTTTGAGACGGAGTTTCACTCATGTTACCCAGGCTGGAGTGCAATGGCGCGATCTTGACTCATCGCAACCTCCACTTCCTGGGTTCAGGCAATTCTCCTGTCTCAGCCTCCTGAGTAGCTGGGATTACAGGCACGCACCACCATGCCCAGTTAATTTTTTGTATTATTATTTTTTTTTTTAGTAGAGACGGGGTTTCACCATGTTGACCAGGATGGTCTCGATCCCTTGACCTCGTGATCCACCCGCCTCGGCCTTCCAAAGTGCTGGGATTACAGGCTTGAGCCACCGCGCCCGGCCTACGTTTTTAGCTTTAAATGTCTCACAGTGCTGGCTCATGAAATGTTCTAGAGAAAGCCTAGCAGGGATGATCTCTTTATGTGGAGCCCAGGTAGAGAGGCTAGGTCTGAGATGGCACAAACTCCAGT